TATAAGCTCCTTGGTCTTATGAAGTAGGCCCAAAGCCCTGTCCTTATAAGGAGCCAATTAATCATCCATGCTATTTCGCTCTATTATTTCCTGTAAATGTGGTTCCACAGAGAGATGAATGGGTGAGTAAATTTAGCAGTGTTCAGCTGCTGTTGAATCATAACCAGAGTGGTAAACAATTTGTAGGTCAACAGCAAGGAACATATTTTTAATTAATGGGATTTCCAAGCTCAAGCTGCATATGATGTGGTAATCCGTAATGGACCTGTAAGACTCTTTAATGAAAATGTAAAAATTCGGACACAGAAAAACTCTGGAATTGATCTAACCAATGGTTCAGGACACACTCCCTTTTTCAAAATCACACTTCTCAAGCTTCTATCTTGCTGGGTGAGACTTGTCGCTCAGCATTTTATTTAAAAAGGAGCCAACCAATTGCCTATGTGGAGCTGACCAGTAGAACATGAGTGCAGTAATTGTGCCCTCCATGTTATGTTTCCCAGCATCTGATATGCACAGACACACTGTTTTTGATCCTGGATATGATATATGATCAGAAACCATTTATCTCTCTAATCTTCAGGAGTTTATCTATCTATTTTAATCTTTAAGTTGGACACCATAACTATTTATTGTTACAGTGAATTCCACTGATAAACTCTGTGCTGCATGAATATTAATCTTTGCATACAGGAGAGTTCTTCAGTCCCTTTTCCAGGCCATTTCTTTTTTAAAAGGTGTAGTACCAGAAAAATTCTCAGCATTTCAGATGTGGTTGTTCTGTGATACAGGCAACATGATGATAAATGTTCTATTTCTAATTGCGACCAACATGGAATCTCCCCTTTTCAAAACAACTACAAACTGGCTCAACATTTTCTGTGAACTGCCTGTCAAAATCCCAAGATCTTTTTCTTGCTTTGTTGCTACTAGCACAGAGACCCTATCAGTGAAGCTTTGTCACTTAACATGCATCTGTTTATACTTCCTTATGCCGAAACTCATACTCCACTTCATTGTCAATTTCCCCAAGTTGGTGATATGATTTGGATCTCATCAGTATCCACTGAATCCTAAACAATTGAGTGTTATAAGAAAATTTGGCATTTTTATTATTCCCCTTCTTCCAAATGTCAAATTTCCAGTTTCTGAAGTGTATGCAGTTTAAATCGTGGTTGCCACAATGGTGGCTTCTTCTTTGGCCCCCAGTGTTATTTGTGTTTAAAAAGGAAAAACAAAGAAACAAAAGCTAGACACCAATTCCAGAAATATTATTGTGGATTGTTTGGCTGGACCTCTCATGTGAAAAATAAATAAAACTTTTATCCATCTCTTTCTAGTGACAATTAATTTGCCACAGATGGGCAATTATGGCCCAATCTGCCACTTCCAAATGCAAACATGTGATGGTATCTACATTACTTTCACACCATACAGACATGTATTATTTGATTACTTGGATGTATCTTTCCATTTCTACCAATAGGTTGTTCTACTTTTAACATGGAGTACCTGTATGAATTTCACCCTGGTTATAAATCCTGATCAGCGAAATGCCCTTGTCAGGATTTATAACCAGAAATATCCTAAGGAGCCCCCAATGGTGCAATGGATTAAACCCTTGTGCTGGCAGGACTGCTGACCGATTGGTCAGCGGTTTGAATCTGGGGAGAGTGAGTTGAGGTCCCTCTGTCAGCTTCAGCTCCCCATGCAAGGACATGAGAGAAGCCTTCCACAAGGATGGTAACACATCAAACATCCGGGTGTATCCTGGGCAACATCCTTGCAGATGGTCAATTCTCTCACAGCAGAAGCGACTTGGAGTTTCTCAAGTCACTCCTGACACACAAGACAAAATGCCCTGTATTTTGCATTTGCTTAGATCATAAAAGCAGACATATAGCTATAATTTTAGAAGTTACATACCCGTTTTATTAGCTGCTTTAAGTGTCGAGCTCATCAAAAGAAACAGCTACAGATTCTGTCCTCAATGTTCTCAGGAGACCAGCTCTTTGCTAAATGGCATGCTGATGTTTTCTTCCTTTCTGAAACTATTTTACAGGCTTCCTTGCTCTTTAGTTGTTGTCTTGCAAAAAAGGGGCTTTCTTGTGGCTTTCAGATCTGCCGGTTGACGTATATGAAAGCAAAAATCAACTGTAGGTGTATGTCTGCGTTGGTGCGTGTGCCTATCAAACTGGTAAAAGTTGTTCAGGGAAAGTGCATTGTGGAATAGCAACTTATTTTTTCCCCTTGTGACTAAATGAATTGCTGAGACAAATTGGGATGATTCTCTGTGTCTTTGCAATCAAATTGCATGTGTGTTTGCTTGGAGAAATGTATTCTTAAAGAGAGAAGGAAGGAAACTTTATTTTCAATTAAATCTTTTGAAGACAGAAGTCATGAGTAGTAGTATGGAAACTGAATAGGAAATCAGTTTGTACACATGGAAGAAAACATTGTAGAATCTTTCGGTTTCAGTGCAGTAATTCCAGCTAATTGGTTCAATTGCTTGAACCACTCTTATCATCAATTAGTTTCTTATAATGTTCAGTTGAAATCTACTATCCTGTAAAGTAAAACTATTTGACCTGGTTCTATCCTCATACGAATAAACATTTTCAATTAAGTGGGGGCCTTCTACTACTGATATACTGGTATGCAAGTATTTGCACAAATTGACGTCCTTGAAAAGTGCTGCCAAAAAATTAAGCTGGGAAAGAATAATTTCCTGATGAGAGTGATCATTTTCCATTAGCAGTTCTGCCCACCACTAATTCCAAAGCAAGGTGAAGCTGCGTGGACAGCCTCACATCAAAAATCCAGATTTTCTGTAAAAATGCTAGTTTTTTTGGGGTCTGATTAAAACCCCAAAGGAGTCCAAAAATAACATGGCAAGCAAATAATCAAGAATGCTATTTGTCCAGATCACAGCAGCTATGATCTACAGTATAGGCAAGCCTGCGTTGGGAAAGCCTGTTTTGTGAAATTGAGATAAAGTTGTGGGAGTAGTATCTTACTTGAAGGCACTTTGTTTCCAGAAGATATAATGAAGCAAAGTAAAAAAAAATCTGGTAGAAACTGATTGCAATGTTTAAAACAAATAATTATGTCTAATAGTAGCTCTAAAATACAGGTTACAGTTCAGATTTTTTTTTTAAAAAAAGGCATTGAAAAATCAATGTGTTTATTTTTATACAAACTAAAGTACACGTTGTTCTTAGCTATATGAGTCTTAAATACAAATATATTCACAAATATCTAGGAACCCAAGCAAACAATTCATTTAAACCAGAATATCAATATAAAAGTCCATTAGGACAACTATGGCTCTTCATCTTGGTTTAGATATGCCTCACTGTAGAAACTAAGCAGGGCTGACTGTTACAATTTGACATGATACAAGCAAACAAAGATCACAAATGCCCCATTTTGTATTGATTAGCATTTGACACAATCCAAAGAACTGTGCATTTTTTTTATACAGTCAAGTAAGTTTGAACTTCTAATTTTATAACAGCATTCCCTTTCCACCCATGAAACAGGATCATTTGTTAATCAGAGGATAATATCAAAAGTAATTGGTGATACAACTCTTAAAGGGCAAGGAGAATGACATTTAATAGGCTTGACTTCTTGGGCTCACTAGCCAAAAGGATATGGATCCTCCAGTGGCGCAATGGGTTAAACCTTTGTGCTGGCAGGACTGCTGGCTGAAAAGTCAGCAGTTCGAATCTGGGGAGTGGGGTGAGCTTCTGTCTGTCAGCTCCAGGTTTCTATGCAGGGACACGAGAGAAGCCTCTGACAAGGTGGTAAAACAATCGGGTGTCCCGTGGACAACGTCCTTGTAGACAGCCAATTCTCTCACAGCAGAAGCGACTTGCAGTTTCTCAAGTCACTCCTGACATAAAAAAAAGCCAAAAGTAGTTCTTTGGATCCCATTGCATCTAATTATAAGTTAATAAGCCACTCATATCAAGTATGAGATTTATTTAAAGCAGTACTATTTTACTGGTTCCACTATCAGCAAATGGATCTATTGCATTCTGTTCGCACATCCCTTATTTGGATTTTAACTAGTCTTGCTGATCAAGGGATTCTGAGAATTGTCCAAAAAGTAGTACATTTCAATTTCTAAATATGGATGTATAAAATACCATAAGTTGGGCAGTGCAGCTGGTAGGGACTGCATCAAGACCAACATGGGTCATTAAACATGCCACAAGGATGCAGAGTTTTATAAGAGAAAGAGCACTTTTGTATATTAGGAAGGTCTGCTCTCTAATAAGAGCATCACAGCCTATTTTACGAAGACATTGACTATGCACACACACACATTCTTGCTACATGTTTAAAAATTAGCTTAAATGGTGGGAGATCAGTTTCAGGAAAACTGGTGCCAAGGACGTGAAGATAGCTTTGCCAAATATAGAGTAGTGAGTTGCATGTTAGCAATCTGGTAAGGTGGAAAAAGAAAGGGGCGAGGGTTCACTGTATGCTGAACATGTGCTAAAAAGTTTGGAAGGACATGGGGCTTTAAAAAAACAGACACTGCAATACTTTAAAGTACAGTGAGAACTACTTTAGATACAAAGAAATGGAAAATCTGAAAGGAACAAGACATGGGGTTATGAAAATGATGATGCCAAATTTGAACACATTGCAGTATTGGAAGGAGAGAGAAGAAGTCATAGGGAGGAAGGAGCAAGCTTGTTTTCTACTGCCCTGGAGACTAGGACATAGAACAATGACTTCAAACTACAGGAAAGGAGATTGCACCTGAATATTAGGAAGAACTGTGAGAATTATTCAGCAGTGGAACTCTCTGCCTCGGAGTTTGGTGAAGGCTCTTCCTTTGGAGGCTTTTAAACAGAGGCTGGATGGCCATCTGTCGGGGGTGCTTTGAATGTGATTTCCCTGCTTCTTGGCAGGGTGTTGGACTGGATGGCCTACGAGGTCTCTTACAACTCAATTATTCTATGATTCTATGATACTATGAGGTTATTTGACATCTAGTGGATAGAGATCAGGATAGATTAAAGGTCTGACAAAAAAGACAAGGTCAAATGAAAATTCACGGATGGATAAGTATAGTAAGGCAGAAAAGAATGTTAGAGGATGAGTTGGAGAGGAAAGTAGCGAGGGAAACCTGCAGTAGAAGTAAAATGATTTTGGTAAAAGGAACAAGCCTAGAAAACTTGGCCTTGATTCTGCTGTGGACTTTCCAATAGGAACTGACTTGGAGAAAATAGTGTCCATTATGAATTGGTATGGTTTGTTTAGGACTGAAGTCAACAGAAATAGGGGCTATTAAAAGCCAGAAGTAAAGGAAAATAATAGACACAGTGCTAGAAAAGATGCTATGGCCAGTCTTATTTTACTTGTGTAAACTCTGAGTTTACACAAGTGCAGTGCTTGTAAGGAACAGACAGTGAGAAGAGGTGGGTACCTGCCAGCAAAATAGTACATAGGGGTCAGAGGTGAATGTAAGTATTTGTACCATAATATTATATCTTAAACCTTACTTTAGTGTGCCAATATTATTGAACTGGTTTCTATTAAACTGTTCCCGGATGTAACCATTTGCTCATCTCCTCAGCATATTATACATAGTTTACTATAAGAATTCATGAAATAACAATTGTTTCACCAATTGCATTCGACTTTCTTGATCTCGAGTTTTCTAATTCCTCTGATATCTTCATTTTGAGCTGCAGTTTTTGGTAAAGTTTTTGTTTGAAAGGTTGGCAAAGGAATACATAAATAATAGGATCAAGGCAAACATTTGCAGCTGTGAGAAGAAGAGTCAGTTCTTTGATGTAAAACAGAACCTTTTTTGTTTCACAGCTGTACAGTGATGGACCTTGGCTTAATGTGTAGGGAATCCTGGCAATGTGATAGGGAACAAAGCAAATAATAAATACAAGCATGATGATGAAAATATTTCTGTTGGTTTTTTTCTTGGCTGACTTGGAATTTTTCTTGAATTTTTTGTGGGAAAAATATATTTTCCTTGAAATAGAACTGTAGAAGGCTATTAAGAGGAGGAACACAGTCCAAAAAACCACTAGGCACGTGTAGTTTGAAGCCTTGTGCCATTTGACACCAAGTGTACTTTTGAGTCTCATACAGTTTCCTGAATTTTCTTTGGTAGCAGTTTTATCCGTAAGAATACTATTAGGAAGTGATATGAGCATATGTAGTGCCCACATGACAACACAAGCAATTTTGCTGCAACGAACTGTGTGAGCAGAGCTGATGAATTGTAAATTCACAACTTTGTAGCATCTGTCAAAGCCTATGAGTCCAAACAATGTTATGCTGATGTACAAATTTAGGTAAAAAATAACAGCAGAGAAACGGCAGACAATAAATTTGAGCTGCCAGGGTCCAATCTCTGAATCAGCAAAAATCTTGAAGGGGAATGTTAGGATAATGATAAGGTCAGCAATAACAATGTTCTTCAGATAGACAACAAAGCTGGTCTTGCTTGGAATATGTAGAAAAACCCAGGCTGCAGCTCCATTTAATAGGATTCCTACTATAAAGATGAAACCATATGCCCATGGAAGAGCTTCTTTTATAAAATTTGTGCTGTAATTGCAGTGGTTTCCTGAAGGGGTGCTTGAGTTGAGCATTTCTAGTATGCTTTCACTTCCTAGAAGCAGAGAAAAAAATGTCAGCAGAAAGAAACACACAAACACTACATTTAGACTAAAGATTTCATGATTTCCAGCACCAGCGCCATTGATGGAAGCTATCTTCTGAGCCAGGGCAGGGAAGTCTTCTTTAATCAATATTTTAATTGGGTGGTTGTAGGTTTTTCGGGCTTTATGGCCATGTTCTAGAAGCATTATCTCTTGACATTTCACCTGCATCTATGGCAGGCATCCTCAGAGGTTGTTTAATTCCCTGTGAATTGACATTTAGGGCATCATCATACTAGAGAATGAATATGGTTGCTGCCTCCTGCAGAATTCTGGAGCTTGTAGTTTAGGGAGGAGGATTTAACAGCCTCACTAAACTACAAACCCCAGAATTCTGCAGCACTCAGAAACCAGATTTAAAGTGAATAAGTTCTCTAATGTGTTGTAGTTTTGGTTACTTTAAGGATTAATCTGGGTGCACAACATTTTAATCCTTGAAGATATTGTGAGCTGGGTGAGCCTGAGATTGTATATGTATGGATCCTTATGGACATACATATACCTATATGCACACACATGCACACATTTTAGTATGTTTGAAGTTCTGGAATGTAACCTCCCCCCCCCCCCCCCCCCCCCCCCAATGGATACAAGATTGTATGTCAGCTTGAGTAGGCTTTCATGGGGAAAAATAATCTTTATTTAAAAAGAGAAATGGATTATAAATTATAACCAGATGTAGTTGATGGCATTTATATGCACAAACATCCTTTGTTTAGTGGTGGAGGGGAGTTTAGGCACCCTTTTATTATAAATTATTTATGATCTCTTGTTGCATAGCAAGGGTGGGAAATGTAAACTCTGAATCTGAATTAAGGCCTTGGTGTTCCCAAGAGGACCACTTCCCTTCCCCATAATTCAGATGTTTCCCAGCTTTTGTGCAGCTCCTTCTTCCCATTAAAAGGCTGGAGTGCATTTCCTAAGACTGAATGAATTACCAACAGTAAGAGTTTTAAATATATTTGCTCCTACACTTCTGTCTTTTCTCTAATCACCCCAAAAACTTGTTTAAAAATTGATTTGGCCATTAGGATGAGAGATATTTGCCACATTGTCTCTAAGGAGAAAAAGATAGAAAATACCACAGAATGCCATTGCAACAGTAAACAAGGTTGAAAATGTATTGTTGAAGGCTTTCATGGACGGAATCACTAGGCCATCAAATGCTAATCAAGGTGGCCAGTTGAAACATTCACACCTAGCTCCAATGGACAAGAGTTCTTTCTCCCATCCTGGACTTTCCCCAGGTATATAAACCCAATTTTCCTAGTTTCCAAAAGACCTCACAACCTCTGAAGATGTCTGCCATAGATGCAGGCAAAATGTTAGGAGAGAATACTTCTAGAACATGGCCATACAGCCCAAAAAACCCACAACAACCCAAGGTTGAAAATGTACATTGGAAGTAGCTAGGTAGGAAAGCTAAGTAGCCACTGACATGAGCTTTGGCAGGCAACCAAATTTCATCCATGAATCTAGCATAAATTTATGCTAGATTCTCTCCATCTCTCCAGGCATTTGGGTGATCAGGAGTGAGGGAATAAAATAGTTATGACATGAACTGCTGATGAAGCAAAGTCAAGCTTCAGTTCTGGAGGGGCCACAAAAGCTGGTGTTGGTCGGTAAAGCTGAAGTTTGCAACTTTTCGTTATTTACCTTTTAACCTTGAATTTGCATGTTGTTCTGATGATTCCCTTAGTCTGTGATGTTTTGCTAAGGAACATGGGAAAGTGGGTAGGTCTCTGTGTAGAAGAAGCAGCAATGCTTAGCTGTAAGATAAAATATGGAATTTTAGTTTTAATATGATAAAACTAACATAATAATAAAGTAATATTTCCAAGAACCTTGTAATTTTTTAAAAAGTTTTGCAAAAGGCACATCAAATGTTATAAGAATGAATCCACTGCTGCAACTTTCAACTTCTATGAAAACTCCCCCTCACTTTTGCATTCTTCTAAATATTCAGAAATACTATTGACATTTTCCTCTGCTGTGATATTTGGCAGTGGGGAGATTTGGTTTTTTGGGGTAATTTCTGGTGATTTTCATTCATCAACAAATTCATACTAAGCACAGTGTTGCACTCATTTGGAAGGGGCAGAAATGTATATAATTGAGGAACTTATAGGATAACGAAGAGTTCTGTTTCACCTTTGAACATGTACTGATATATCGCCCATTTCTTCAAAATAACTGCAGCTATATGAAAGCGTAATTGTGGGTGTCCTTGAAGCCATTATCTGCGTGCATGGCAGAGTTTAATTGATTATGCCTATACATTTTAAAAGGTGCCTTTCAAGTGAAGTGTAGCAGACAGAATGAAGGAACAATTAGGGATAAATATAATATACATACAGGGTATATTAATTCTGGAGATTAGAAGAAATTTCAGAAATAAAACCTACATAAAATTACTGTATTTGTCATTGTATAAGTATAATATTTTTAGTCAAAAACTGACACAAAATACTGTGTTGATTCATCTATGGGTCAATGTAAGTACTATATCAATTCTCATCAAAAAAAGGAACCATTCTGTTCTCTGAGCCAAACAGCAAAAGACAAGAGTTTAGATAAAATTAAAATGGTTGATAAAATGTAAAAACAGAACAAAAAGTTTCTCTACATAGTCCTCGTTGGTGCCATCTTCTACTGTTTAGCCTTTCCTGGGAGAATCTAAAAGAAACACCGTTTCCATTGCAATGCTACTCCTGATCTTTTTTGAAAGCTTGGGTGGAGAAATCAGGCTCCTCAAAGGAGCACCAAGATAGAGGAGGGGGTCAATACTTGCCTTTTACCACTCAACTTAGAGTATGGAGTGGTGCCTTCTTTTGCTAACAATGAATGCTGTACCTTAACATTTATAAAAATAAAAAGGAACCATCTCCTCAGAACAAAATGATGAAAAGTCTTTCTGAATGCCTGGGCAGAAAAATGGTGGCAGCAGTAATGATCAGGGGCAGCTGGTCCCCTGAGGCCACACTACTGCTTTCCCTTGTCTCTACAATTACCCTTGATGTATCCATGGGTCATATCAGAATCCATAATTTAGATCCCAAAACCGGTCCTCGACTTACACAAGAGTAGATATGATATACCGAAGAGTATATGAGCTTGACTTGCACAAGAGCATATATGATAGAGGTTTTGTATTTGTGAAGACTATTAAATTGTTTATTTAAACATCAATACTTTTTTAATTAGGACATTTTTAAATATATGCTTTTAAGAATTTTCTGGGAGGCAGGAGAACCATAAACTTGACCTATGTTCACTTCTTTTCAAGACTTCATGTATTATTACTGTATTATTACTACACATCCCCTGTATTTTTTACTAGATGTCCACACTACTAGATGTTCACTGAATAGTCCTGAACATAGTTACACTGACTTTGGAATATAACTTCATAAGGAGCATGTTGAAAGCATACAGAATCATCATTCCCAAGTGCTGTGATATAGTTTCATAGTTATAACATTCTGTCCCCTCCCCCCACCACCACTTTCTAAACTTTCACCACCTTCTTTGTTCTTAATTTAGCCCCAGTCACTAGTTGTTCCCTAGACTGAGGGCACAAGAAGCTTTATATGTACCTGTACTGTGTGGCTATCTGTCCTGCTTATGGAGTTCTGTGGTTGGGATAGTAATATCACACTTGCACTAGAGGTTGAGTAGAACAGGATTCTTACTTAACACAGAGCACAGCAGCATCTTTTTCTAAAATAATTTATTCCCACTTGGATGATGTCACTTGGGTCAAAATGCCATTTTGGTCAGAGAGCCAGGGAGCATTCAGTTCACTCATATTTTGTCTGATGCTGGAAGAGGGCACCATTTGACTCAGGTTCCTACTACTCCATGGAACTTTGTGTCCTCCTTGCAAAAGCCCTGTGGTTTGGGCCAGTTTTATACAATTTATTGGAGCGATGACTTTCTGCAAATTATGCATCCTGGTAAGTTCAAAGGGGTCAAATTTAGGTACAGCCATAAGATTAATTTTAGCTGGTTTGTCACAGAAATGTTTGCTAGGCAATAGAATGGGTAACTTTCACATATTACAAAACATTCATTTCTCTCTTTCAACTGGAAGAATAAAAGCTGGGAATATGAGAATTGATTTGGGGAGCTAAATTTTTCATCACGCATCTGTGTTGTTGTGAGAATTAGCTTGATTATTCATCTTTTTTTGTGTCAGGAGTGACGAGAAACTTTAAGTCACTTCTGGTGTGAGAGAATTGGTCGTCTGCAAGGACGTTGGTCATGGGACGCCCGGATGTTTTACCATCCAATGGGAGTCTTCTCTTGTCCTTGCATAGAAGCTGGAGCTGGCAGATGGGAGTTCACCCCACTTACCAGATTTGAACCGCTGACCTTTTGGTCAGAAACCCTGCCGGCAGAAGGGTTTAACCCATTGTGCCACCAGGGAGTCCCCAACTTTGCTTATGAGGATGCTGTAGATTAATGCCTGGCATTGTCTATGCAAATGTTCTTTTATTTATTCTCTGTCTTCCTAAAATTAGGTACACTTTACTATCTTTTGATATGAAAGGACATAATAATAACATTAGAAGAGGAGAAACAATGCCAGATTTCTCTGATCCCTGCCTCCAATTAACACACTAGGAATCACACACTCATTTAACTGAAAACACATTCTTTGTTAAACATTTCTTAAATGTCTCTATTTGCTCCCACGATCTAGTACCTGGTGAATATTTGTATCCCATTTTGCCCTTTTGAGGGATTTTTAAAAAATACCTTTTCTGCCACAATCACTAATTTAAATAGCGAGTTATGCTGAATCTATTTGAGTTGTCTCTCTTTTATAACAAGGAAAAGTGCTCTTTCTAAATTGAGAGAGCCAAATTGAGACGTGTTAAAATACTAGTGATAAAACAAACCTATTCAACAGTGTCCTTCAAGAGACTTTTGGTAGTTTGATTAAGTAGTAATAAATAATGAACATTGTCATTACTTTTATGTATGGATACAGGAGGATCTAAAGAAGCAAATACATTTCATTTCTGGAAATAGCATGATTAGAAAGTCTTGCTGGATTCCTATTAATGATTTTAAGCTGAAAAAGCAACTTGTATCATGACTACACATTTCCACATGAAATAGTCTTTTAAAACAAGTAATGCTATGATTGCATGTACTTACCAATATACAAAGTCTTGTAGCATTCCAGTTTTCTAAGAATCATTCAGATTGGATTTTAGATTCATGGAGGAATAAGGTTCCTTGGTGTTCGCAGTGCTTAACTTAAAAATCCTAGAACTGCTACGTTAGCTCCAAAATTAGACTTCAAGAATATGTTGTGTCTTACTGCTGCCAAGTATTGGTTAAGTGTCAAGTAATGCAGCTGGCTAGTTCTCTTATACATCCACGAGGGGCAGCTATAAACAGTGAGTGACAAATTTTCAGACCTTGGCAAAAAAGAGGAAATGATCTGAAGATGAAACTTTAAAAGTTCCCAAGTTCCTATAGTAGTTCCTCTGTGTTTCTTTTCTCATACTTATGGATGTGTTTATGGGGGTTGGATTGTTGAACTCTTGTTGAGTTCTCAGGAAGGCATGTTTTTAGAATTCTTTGGAAATTATACCTCTCTGCTATTCTAGTGGGAACCAAATAATATTACATTTCTGTTCATTGATGGATTATGTATTTACATATTTATTTATTTGAGTGATGTCCTATCTTTCTTCCATTATGGGACTCAAAGTATTTTGCGTCAGCAGATAGCCTTCCCCCTACTCCCAGTTTCTTTACTCAAGAGATTTCACTTACTCAACAGTTTTGTAACTCACTCTATTTTCAGCACAGATTAGTAATACAGAACCATTCATGCTCACCCTTTTGGTAGCACAGTAGATCATTTTCTTACCAAACATACTTTTCAAGGAATAATGACCACTGCTTGGATTTTAGGAAAATGAGATTTTTTGGCAGCCAGTCTCCCGTGGAAGCTACCAGAATGATTTTTCCAAATGGGTAATCCATGCACTAAAGCAAATATTTGATAGTTATTTGATTTGATGTGGTAACTGCACATGTATGTTGTTTCAATCACATTCTACAAACTATGCCTTATGAGGAGTGGTTTAGAGAACTGGGAAGATTAAAAGGTGACATGATAGCATGTTCAAATATTTGAAAGGATGTCATATTGAAAATGGATCAAGTATGTTTTCTGCTGATCCAGAGACAAAGGCATTGATCAGTTGATTCAGACTACAGGATAAAGCTATTTGACGGTGGAATTCCTGGCTCAAAATGTGGTGGAATCTCTTTCTTTGGAGGTTTTTAAACAGAGGTTGAATGACCATCTATCAGGAGTGCTTTGATTATATATTCCTGTATGACAGGGAATTGCACTAGATGGCCCTTGTGATTACTTCCAACTCTATGGCTCTATAATTTCTGATGTATACTAAATAGTTTCTTCATAGTAAGTGAACCTTGCCATGTGTATTTGTTTCCTCCATGTGGTGCAGAATTGGGATGAAACACTGATGGAGAACCTGTGGCCCTCTAGATTTTAACTACTCAGGCTTTGTGAGACTGATGAAAATTGGAATGTAGCAAGACTTGGATGGCCACAAGGTATCCAACCCTGACATATATGTTATCCTGATCCTGATGTGATTGATAAAATGGCACTGAACTTTTCCTTTTACCCAACCTTGGCTTGGCATAGTATACCATAAATGCCTCTAATTCTTGCTGGCTGCACTGCAAATTTCATTGAACATAATATATTGGGTGGTTTTATAGTATTGCAAGGAAGCTTATCCACAGGATCACATAACATAGATCTTGGAGACTCTAGATGACTGAATGTGTGCAATAGCAGCACTAATATAAATTGCTGTTTGGCTCCCTGTTGTGTTTCCTTATGTTAGATATAAACTGATTTATAACAAATGCAGTAATGAGAACACAATTGGCACAGGATACTAACCCTTGAAATGGGAGCTAGCAGGAAGATTGATTTGAGTTCATGTATATTAAGTCATTAATAATCTCTGAGCAAAAATGCCAGCTGTTCAGACCTACTTTGTCTATTGCTGGAAAAGGTTGCGTTTCTGATAACTAGTGCTTACTGATGTCATTTCATAGAATCATAGAGTTGGAAGAGGCCTTGTGGGCCAGCCGGTCCAATCCCCTGCCAAGAAGCAGGAAAGTGGCCTTCAAAGCATTTGTTACATTTTAGCTTTAATGTTGTTGCTCATAGTTCACTAGGATATTGTAGAACCAGCTGAAAGGGAAAATGCTTTCTATGCTTGATAAACATAATGGAAAAAAGGAAGCTAACAATTCCCAAGGTACTAGCATGCTTTGTTATATTAAAAAACCAAAAAAAAAAACCAATGCAGTACACACTTATGATTCCATCTTTAAGGACTTTTCCCTTACTACAGCTTATTGGCAGTGTGGTATTAGAGCTTTTTTAAAACCAGGGACCACTTGACCAGGGACCACTTTGACCAGGGACTACTTAACCAGTGACCACTTAGATCAGGGACCACTCTCCAACATAAGTACTAAAAGGGTTACAAATCAGTTTTTGGTCAACTTCAGATTTGATTTGGGGTGCTGATTCAGAAAACTGCATTGGATAGACCACATCAGCTCTAGTTTTTTATACAGAATATATGCCATGGAAAGGAGTGGCAGGCAGTGTGAAAGGAGCAGAAATAAATAAAATAATATAAAATAAATAAAGAGGAAGGAGGCTTGTGGACCAGATTTTCGTCCTCGCAGCTCATTGGTGGTCTACGGCCCACAGGTTAAGAACCACTGTGTTAGAGTAATGCAAAAAACTAGTGTTGTGTCGTATAACTTTCATCCAGTAAGTGTTAATACAGAAACATGATGCTTTACTGGAGAAAACATAAAAATAGCAAAAAAAAGTTTAAAGTGTCAGGAAATTATTTCCCATAATCTCATACTTTAAAAAACCCCTCAGTCTAAGACTATAGCAGAGAATGACTTCTTTGTGCAATAAACACCAAGCAAAAATAATTTATTTTAGTGCTGAGCTTAATTATAATTCTTCCAGAAGTATTAATGGACTGCAATTTTTTTCTTTAAATAAACCAATCTTGGTGACCTAACAAAGGAATAACGACACCAGACACATGATAAAATAAGGGCACCTTTATTAATGGCTTTGTATTTAAATGTTAAATTTGTTACCAATTTAATGTGGAGCATGTTTCCAAAAGGTACCAAATCTGTTTGAACAAACTTTATAAGAAAAAAACATACTGAGGTTCTGCATTCTTTTTGCTATAAAATCCATTTTTCTGAGCCTTGTACTGAAATAATTTGATACATTTTGATAATTTTGATAATTTTGATCTGTGCATATTATTCTACTTGTAGCCAGCAATGTGGATACCTGAAATTCACTTTTCAGTTTTTTGGGATTTGGTACCTTTTGGAAAAAAAAACTTCACAAATGTGCTCAGCAAAAACTAAAAGTGGAGAGCAACTGAAGTAGTAAGTCTAACTTAGACCACAGCCTCCTCAGGGCGAAAGCACCATAGTCCCCAAGAGGGAGTCATACAATTGCTCCCAGATCAGCTACAAAACTGGAAGGCTGACCTGAGGGTGCCAACCCTCAGGCCCCATGGTCTTTGGAGAGAGCAAGACCCCAGAGACCAGCTACAAGGGTAGTATTTTATTTCCACCTCTGATCGTATGATACTCAAGGACAGTTCTAGATTCCATCCTTTGCCAAATATGTGCCAGAAGGTGCTCACTGAAGTTATATCTTTTCTGGCAAAACCTTTAAGACATTACTTTATCTAGTTGTCTGGTCCTCCATGACAGTGTAGATTAGGTAAAAAAAAAAATCCTTAATGAGGAAGGGGAAATTACGACCCAACCTAAAAGCAACCAGAATGTTCACACTATAAAAATAGGTGGGAATGTGGATCAAGGAACTCCAAAGAGGGGGAGATGGAGGCAGAGCCACTTTTAAACAGACTAACCTAGCTCTGTCCCATCTCCCCACTTTCATGGCACCAGGACAACATTTAATCATTGGAAGCTGGCAAAGCATCGGAAGTTAGCAAAGTGACTTCTCATTTGCCATTACACTAAATTGATGGAGACTGAATTCCATCAGTTCATGAAGCTAGTTTCTTTGGAGATTGCAGGGTTGGATTAAGGCACCATAAAGCTCCCTGTGATATAAATTTTACAGGCATTGCCATTACCAACATTTTATATAATGGTAAAATTTGTGTAAACCCTGAAATGAATTTTAAAAAAATGTATTTACATGCACTTCACAATACGAGGCCTCAAACCATAGTTAACATATGTAAATCTAGCCCTGCCAATTTCCAAAAAGACCATTGCCTTCCACAAGCAGATGGGTTGTGCTGGTAAGTTACTTGGGTGAGCAATCACTTTATGTGAAATGAACTGCAGCTTTTTCTGAAATGAACGAATCACATTCTGTGGTTTCTTCACTTCACAAAAGGGAAGTGTTTGGGTATTGTGTTGGTCTAATACCAGGTGGTGTAGGCTATGTTTCAGAGGAAGGAACTGCAAAACTATATCTTCCTTACTTAAGAAAACCCCATGAAATCCATGTGGTCACAATAGGTTGACAGGCAACTTGAATGCACACACACACACACAACATATTTGAGGAAGTAAAGAGGCTGAGGATATTGTTGATGGCACCATCACTCCCAAGACACACAGACACGATCTGTGGGAACCCCATGATTGTCACAAGTTAAAAAGTCATGGGAGAGAAAAATGTTGAGAGGGAAGGGACTGAATGTGATGTAGACTAGTTGCTTCATCACAATAGAGAAAAAATCCACTTAAAATCCAGTTTCTGCCTCCTGCAGAATTCTGGGATTTGTAGTTTAAGGAGGATCCTTTAACAGCCTCAGTAAACTACAAACCCCAGAATTCTGCAGGTGGCAGAACCCGGATTTTAAGTGGATTTTTTTTCTCTAGTGTGATGAAGTAGCTAGTTCAGTAAACACAAAAGTGTTGTATAGGCAGCCCCCAAGTTATGAACAAGTTAGCTTCTGAAGGTTTGTTTTATTTATAAGTCAGAACAGATACATTTAAAAAATGTAGCTCCACCATTCACACACACACACACACACACACACACACACACACACACGTTAGCTTTGGATAGCAAAGGGAAGGGTTAACATCCCTGTAGTATTTCTTTTGCTCTCTGTGCCCCTGTCCAAAAGATTTCACATCACTTTCTGTCCCTGTGATCACTGGATTTTGAAAAATTTGGTGACACCTTTTCCCCATGATAGCTTTTCCAGGAGTGAATTTCTTTTTTTTGGGGGGGGGGGCAGGCCCGTAGCCAGGATTTCGTTGCGGGGGGGGGGGGGCAATTTTTTTTAGGGGGGTTTCGGGAGGGGGGCTGAGTTTGGGGGGGGGGCTGAGTCTGAGTGAAAGAGGGTCAAGCCTAGCAAACCTTTTGTATCATTACCCCAATACCCCCATGCATATGGGATATATTGAGTATGGTGATCAGATCATGATATGAATAAACATAACAGTTTAAATAATGCACCAGTAAGGCCTTGTCGCGAACCACCATGAGAATTTCGGGGGGGGGGCTGAAGCCCCCCCCCCCCCCGGCTACATGCCTGGGGGGGGGTAGATTTATCACACTTCCTGTTGTCCCACCTCCATTCTTAACTGTGAGTAGTTTGTAGTTGGGGATTGCCTGTACAGGCTACAGAAGAGGAAATGGAAAGCCAGAGCGATATGTCAAATAAAGTTGCTGGAATCCTGAAGAGCAGACCCTCTCCTGAAGAATGTTATTTATTTTTCTTTTGGACTTTC